ATATATCTGTATATGTGTATATATAAATATGAAGTGTTTTTAAAATTTACAGAAATAAACTATTCTTTAATATGCCTTTTTATATTTAGTGTTTAATAAAATTCCTGTACTTTCTAAATAATTCTGTTTAATTGCATTTAAATTTTTTTTAATCCATTACAGACATGGGTAACTGAACAAAAGTAAAAATTTCTCTCTGAAAATGAAAGATAAATATCTCACCATACATTTCCATCCATTCTAAAAATTTTTAATGAAAATATGGAAGAAGGACAGAAACTCTATATATGGAGGGGAAAATGGGGGATTATATAGAACACTTAAAGGTATAGGAAAGTTATTCTCATTTCTATACTACTCTCTTACTTTAGACATACATTTGTAAAAGTACACATGTGCATACTTTTCTAATTTTTATTTAACCCTCAGATCCTAAGATTCACTAACTTTGAGTCAAAAGTTGAAAGGAACCTGGCCAATGTGAGTCAGTTGGTTGTGTGTTGTCCCATGCACTGAGAGGTTGGTAGTTTAATTCTCTGTCAGGGCACCTGCCCGGCTGTGGGTTTTAACTCCATTAGGGGGCATGCAGGAGGCAGCTGATCCATGTGATGCTGAGCCCTCCCATCAATCTTTCTCTCTTCTCCCTCACTCTCTAAAAAAATCAATAAAACTATTAAAATAATCATAAAAAATAAAATGATGTCACTATTTATACCTGCTCATTCTATATCTAATCATTCCACTTTACCTTTATCATATAATTTTTTAGTGGCTGAAGATAATTGCATGTGTGTGGGTGCACACACGCAGTGTGCATGTTCTTGAGTCACCCGTAGGACATTATAACTGTGCTCACTGTTCCTCCCTGCTACTCAGGCTGGTTTTGGTTTCAGCTTAAGAATTGTGCTATCACAATAGACTCTTCCTATTGGCTCCAACTCAGATAGAAGGAACACATTGGGTAGCAATTGAATTATTAAATTATGCCCTCTACCACTAACATATTAATATATGACCTGATCCCCTTCTCTTTCTTGGCCCAATAAAGCAACCTAAAATTATTTTTTATTCCTGTTCTAAATTTTTATTTGGAAAATATATTTAATTAGTCTGTCAAAATTAAAGGTAAAAGTATTTTTTAAGAAAGTACTTTTCATACAAGTAAACCTTTCTTCCAAACCCTATGTAAAACAAATTAAATATTTAACTTATGTGTTCTTTTATGTAGTTTTTTTTGAAGTTTTACTTTAGACTTAAGATATTGCCTATACCTATTAAATGCTCTCAAGTTACATACAACCTAAAAAATAAAACAATAACAAAAAATATAAATACAAACATTTAAAAATCATAGCAAACACTTTTAGGAGGAAAAATAGTAATAATGTAAAATTTGATAACATTTTGGTTATCAAATTACTAATAATTTTGTAAGTGGTATCTCTCTACAATTGTTGAACAACAGGAAATTTCTATCCAAATTCATTACTTTTAAAAAATATAGCTTATAAAATTAGCACACACAATTGAAGTTATTAGAATAAAATACCAATGTAATAATAATATCTATTGTAATACAAATTAGGATATAAACTATTCTTATGTTCTATTAAGATTCTAGCACCTGACTGGTGTTGTTCAATAGTGAATGTCAATCCATGAACCAGGAGGTCATGGTTTGGCTCCTGGTCAGGGCACATGCCTGAGTTGTAGGCTTGATCCCCAGTGGGGGGCATGTGGGAGGTAGCTGATTGATTATTCTCTCTCATCATTAATGTTTCTATTTCTCTCCCTTTCCCTTTCTTCCTGAAATCAATAATAAAAACAACAACAACAACAACAAAAATCCACCTAGATTATATATTTAAAAAGCTTCTATCAGGCTAATCTTTCCTCAAATTAAAAAAAAAAAATTCATAGGATATAATCCTTGACAAGCATACAGAACCATTGGAAACACAGAAAGAGAACTATGATACAGTTGGGAAATTATCTTTATATTTTCAAATTATTTTATAATCTTTTGATATTACAAATAAAAAAAGATGGAAGAAGTAGCATCATTTAAAAACAACTGTCTTCTGATTTCCCTTGACCCAAAATACTAAGTAATTTATAGTATTTCCCATTAAGTATCTCTCATGACCAAGTTAAAGGTGAAACCCATCCCTATTCCAGTGAGGTATAGGAGCAAGCTTATTATCAAGTCTTCAATGATTAAAATGAAGTAATCTTCAACCCACTTCAACCCACTGGTGGAGTAGCCTCCTTCCTTTAATCTCTCTGGATATCTTTGTGTGAATGGTATGCTCTTAAATGTGGATCATGGAGGCTATTATATTGGTTTTCCAAAAGTTGACAATAGGATCAGATTGAAACCATTAGGTTGAAAAGGCTGAAAATACAGATTTTAAAATATGAAAAATGTGAAATTAATTTTATTTTAAAATATCAAACTATTAAAATGACTAGAATGTTCACTGAAAATAAAGCATGCAAGAAGAACTTGAAGTAGGAAAGACTGTCAACAGAAAGATTTGGATTTAGTAATGTTAACTGCTTATGCCTACTTTCCCCCCACTGACCTGAACACCCACCCTCACTCAATTCCTCCACTGGCCTCCATCAGTCCCTGGCCCTGAGCTGAGAAGAAAGGAAGAGAGGAAAGGAAAGTGAAGAGGATAAAATTTGTTTTAATGTGTAAAGTTAATGCCACGTTTCTTCATTTCCCTCCTCCCTCTTTCAGGTCAAGGCACTGTATTCAAAGTATAAAGAGATAATATCTACACTAATAAAAGAGAAACATGCAAATTTACCATCACTCTGCTAAACACACACTGGCCAATCAAGAATGAGTATGCAAATTAACCCAACAAAGATGGAGACGGCCACAGAGCTGGAGTGAGCAAGGGGGCTTGGTTTGACCCTGATGACAGAGAAAGCCAAGCTTCCTGCCCGCCCTGCCCACGGCTGAAGGAGAGGCTGGGAGCAAAGACTGCAGGGGAGCGAAGACTGCAGGCTCCAGCAGGGAGCAAAGGCCTAGGTCTCAGACGTCAAAGGAAAACCAGTGCTGGCAGCCAGGGAAAGGAAGGCCTATTTCATGAATGTTCATGCAATAGGCCTCTAGTTAACAATTATGACTATTATGTCTCAACTAGAGGCCTGGTGCACAAAATTTGTGCATGGGGTGTGTGTCCCTCAGCCCAGCCTGCACCCTCTCCAATCTGGTTCCCCTCAAGGGATGTCCAACTGCCTGTTTAGGCCCAATCCCATTCCTCTCACAATCCAGGACTGCTGTTTCCCAACCACTCGCTGACTTACCTGCCTGATTGCCCCTAATTGCTTCTGCCTGCCAGCCTGATCACCCCCTAACCACTCCCCTGCTAGCCTGATCAACACCTAACTGCTCCCCTGCCAGCCTGATTGCCCCTAACTGTCCTTCCCTGCTGGCCTAGTCACCCCTAATTGCCCTCCCCTGCTAGCAGTGTTTATTCAGGTCCTTAGCCCATTTTTTTTTTTTCCAACATGAAACAACCAATTTATTCAAATAAAACAAGGACCTATTCAAATCAATTCCTGCCCCCAGGAGTTTCAACTGTACATGAATGTCATGTCAGCAGGTGAATTTTTTAGTTGCTGTTTTTACTAAATTGCAAAGATATAGGCTGACAGTTAGAATATATTTCTTCAATTGTTTCCACTGAGCTCTGATAATGAGGTGGGCAGCTCTTAGTTCCCCAGTCCTTTTATATTTATCTCTGCATATCTATGCTGCTTCATCTCTCTTGTATATTTGCCCCTGTGCTCTAAGAGGACAAACAATCCATCTTTCTCTAAAATGTATCCTATGAGCTTTGTGTTACTTCGTCCCTGTATATATGAGGGAGGAAAAGAGAATCAATAAATTTATGGATTAATTGACCTTGATTCCAGACTACACTTCTTTCTTTACCATCTTCAATAACTACATTGATCTTTATTTGATACCTTCTTAGCCCATTTTTTAATTGGATGGTTTGTCTTCCTGGTATATGAGTACTTTATATATTTTGGAATGCATCCTCGGTGAATATGTTCTCCTATTCAGTGGGTTCTCTCTTCATTCTCCAGCAGGATAGCTGATATTTCTCATGTAACTGTATATGAGCAGCTCATAATGCTACAACCCCTCTTCTCTCCCTTATGAGCAAAAATAATAACTGCTAGCTTTTGAGCAAAAGAGGTGATATTTCTCCAGTTTTTGTGTTTGTAGATAAAAAGCTCCTAATGATACAACCCTAATTTTTCTTTCAAGACAGGAAAACTTACCTTCTGGGTTTTGAGTAGAAATGATATTTATACAGTCCTTGTACTTGCAGATGAGGGCCTCATGATAATACAGCCCCTCATTTTATCACTGAGTGCAAATAAGCCCTGGCTGGTGTGGGTAAGGTGGTTTTTGAATAGGATCAGTTAGGTGTCATCCTGTTCAGTGAAGGGTTGCAGATTTGATTCCCAGTTGGGGCACCTGCCCAGGCTGTGTGCTGGATCCCTGGTAGGGGGTGTGCAGGAGACAGCTGATTGATGTTTCACTCTCACATCGATGTTTCTCTTTCTCTCCCTTCCTTCCTCTCTAAAAATCACTTTAAATAATAGATTTGTTGGTTTTTGAGCAATAAGTTGATATTTTTTCAGTTCTTTTTGTAGATGAGGGGCTCTGATATTACAATACCTCATTTCTTTCTTAAGAGAGAAAATGTTTGCTGGGTTTTGAGCAGGAGCAGTGACATTTCTTTAGTCCATGCCCTTGCAAATGAGGGTTCATGAAGTTATAACCCTCTTATAAGAGAAGAATACCCACTCTGCTTGTTTTTGAGCAGAAAAGGTGATATATCTCCAGGTCTTATTTTTGTAGATGCGAAGTTCATGATGTTACAACCTCTCATTTCTTCCTTAAGAGAGGAAATACTAACTTGTTTTTTTGTTTTGTTTTGTTTTTTATTCTTTTTCTTGGATGGTTTTTGAGCAGGATGGTGATTTTTTTTAAAGTTCTTTACCTTGTAGACAAAAGGCTTATAATATTACAACCCCTCACTTCTCCCTTGTGAGAAATACTAGCTTTGTTGGTTTTTGAGCAGGAGCGGTAACATTTCTCCATTATTGTAGATGAGGGGTTCATCATATCAAAACCCCTCATTTTTAGTTTAAGATAAAATGGCATTGGCATGCTGCATATTAGTAAATTTATCACAGCTGTTAGATTCTTTTATAGCTACTCTGCACAGGTCTTTGTTTTCACAATATCTGGAAATGGCCTAGGAGAAGAAATGAGATAAAACTTAGGTATGTTAAAAATAAGAGAGTTCCAGCCTTCGCACACAAAAAAGCATAACTGATAAGCCACAGCTCCATTTTTTTTTACATGAATTATAGTTACTGTCTCTTTGGATAGCTGTGGTCTAAACTACTAGGTCCTTGGGATCTGCTTTATGGTAATTTACCAAGGTAAGTCATGTAGGGACTATGATTAGATTTCAGTGCAAAGGGGAACTTAGAGTTTTTTAAAGTTCCGGTTTTCTCAATGATGGCACCATAGGTTCCTAACAACAATATCTGCTGCCTACACACTTGGTTCCTTGAATATAATAAACATACACTTGGGCAAATCAGTGTTTACTCAGTTATTTAAATTCTACCCACTCTTTATTAGTGAGTGTATACTTTAAGCAGATTTTAATGAAATAGGCATGTGCTGTATTTTATTGAAAGGTCTAATGATTGAAGCACCGTAAGGTACTATTTCACTTGCACATGAAGTAAGGTGGTAACACATCTTATTCTAAAGTACTACCAAAGTAACACAGAAAATGTCCATTTTAAAAGTGTCCATTTTAGTTGTGAATAATTTTGTTACATATGAACCAAAGTCTCAAGTCATAAATATACTTTGTGCCATGTATTTTACAATTTTCATTAAAAACCCATGTACTTTCTATACCAAGTGTTTGAAACACATATTCTACAACCTAAATACAGTTCTCTCAGGTTAGCTTTGTCTAACAAACTCATGGGACTGAACTGTGAAATATACAGAAAAGACATGGATTTACAAACTGAGTTAAGAGTGGTAAGTAGATTATATTTGCAGATATGATTAGTGATACAATTGTAAGACACTGTTTATGTATGGTTAGAAAAAAGAACAGTTTAAAAAAACCATCAAAGACTAAATTTGATTGAAATTATTTTGAATCATGGTCACAGAAGAGATACATTTTTTTTTTTTTTGTAATGTGGGATTCTCAAGTAAACCATAAAAGATACCAGCAATATGAAGTCAAAGAGTTTATAAATCTTCAACATGTTAGTTTAAAAAAAAACCTTTAATTTTCCCAGTCACTACATAATATGACTTATTCACAGGTGTTGGTTTGATGTCCCGCAGAAAACTGCCTTACCTCTAGGTTCAGTGCTCTTTCTTTTTAAAGAGGAGCAGGTACAATAGGCAGTCCATGGTTACTTGCTAAAGACCGAAGGTCAAAATAGTATTGGGCATAGACACTGGCAGAAACATAAAGACGAAACCGCAGTAGACCTAGGTATTGCCTTTCCAACTCATTTCTGGGGGGAAAGGAAAACACAAAAGCAACACGGGACAATTTTCGTCAACGAGGCGATCTTCAAAATTACCCTTCTAAGCTACCAGGATGGCTGTAAATTTTGTTTTAAAACAAAAAAAGCTTACCTGGCAGTACGAATACACCCTGTGGAGAATTCAGTTACCAGGGCTCAGGGTGTGGAGGTCTAGCGGATTCAGGGTATGTCAGAGACTGGGTTCTGTGGCTCTAAGGCAGGGGCCAATTTTCTCTTGCACACCCAGCTGGTGCAGAGACATCCCTTCACATGGCCAACTCTTGGTCTGTTTCAGCCTAAACTCTGCTGTTTGATCCCAAGATGACTCCCTGAGACCCCAGCACATCATAAAGGCCTGTGAGCACCCAGCATTTGGCAGCTGGCCTTGGTGCACCCTGAGAATTTTTTCTGAGTGGCCTGAGACTCAGCACTGGAACCAAATCTGAATATGTATCAGTCCAGTGAACACCACTCATCTATACCTGATGACTCACTTAGTACCTACCTAACCCAACTTGGTACCGCCAGAGGCTCTTTCAGTGACTGAGCTAACAGGCAGCCTACTGGTGGAAGCAGGAGAAAGCAGATCTCAAAGTGGCCTTCTCCTGCCTTTTGGGCCTTTGCTTACCTCCACCAAAACTCAGTGGAAGCTATTCTTGGTGTATTACTTACAATAACCAAGCTATGGAAGCAGCCCAAGTGCCAATCAATAAATGAAAGGATTAAAAGTGGTGGTATATTACTCAGCGACAAAAAATAAATCTTGCAATTTGTGACAACACAGATGGAGCTACAGGGTATTATGCTAAGTGAACTAAGTCAGAGAAGTACAAATACCATATCATTTCACTTATACATGGACTCTAAAGTACAGTATAAATGAACATACAAAACAGAAGCAAACTCATAGATACAGAGATCAGACTGATGGCTTCCAGAGGGGAAGAAGGTGAGGGACTGGGTGAAAAAGGTGAAAGTACTGAGAAGTACAGATTTGTTATAAAATAGTCATAGGGATGCAAATTGAACCATAGGAAATATAGTCAATAACACTGTAATAAACTACATATGGTGCCAAGTTGTACTGAAAATATTGTGGAAAACACTTTGTAAAATACACGGTTTTCTAACCACCATGCTATACACCTGAGACTAATACAAAATAATATTGAGTGAGAAGTCTTATTGAAACAAATAAGTAATAAAAAAAAGAGGGGGGGGGGAAGAAGTGGAACTGGTAGCCAGACTCCTTTAAGAAAGCCATGAATATATTTAAAGTACTACTGTTCTCAGAAATAAGTTTGTACAATGGTTACCAATAACCACCAGGGAAATACATTTCAAATTATCACAGATTATTATAACAATAATACACTAAGACCTAATAATTAATGAGGAAGAATATGAATTATTAAAGTAAATATAGATTAAAAATATATGTAATTTTATGCCTACTTCTGTTCTCTGTGTAATGTAACCTTTAAAAATATTTCTTAATATGTAAACTTTATTGGAGCAAGTAAGTTATTGGAAAATGGTAAGAAAGTTCACAAAAACCTTGCTAACTCACATGTCCTTCACTGTAATGCCCTCGAAGATTTGGCAGAAGTCTGCATTGCTTACAGCCTCGTCCTGCACATACTTGGAGGCAAGAAGAATGGCTCCCAAAATAATTCTTTTCCAGTTAGTGGGGCAAATGTCGATCTCAGCATAAATTAGAAGTCGTTCTATGTAAATCTGCAAAGTAGAACACTGGTCTTTGATTCTATTTCAGGGTGTAAGTGCTATAATAAGAACTTAAACTTTCATCAGTTTTTGACATGCCTTTTATTCTTAGGTTCTAGAGAGACTGCTTGGCCAGCCAAAGCCAGAGGCCAAGAAACAGTTGCAAATGAGATATTGCTGTTGCCTATTTTGCCATGTGAATTTCCAGGCCAATTTTTGGTCACAGGAATGAATGGATATCTTAGCAAAGGACTTCCTGAAGAAATGTTACTATCTTTCCACTTGCAAAGGGCCCAGTGTAGACACTCAGGTGCCTACCATGTGCACTGTTTCACACCTGGCTGGTAGTTTTAGGGTGATTTTACATGGTACTTGTATATGTAAACCCCTGGTAATACTGACAACATTTGTATCTTCTTTACATAGTAACTTAGGCCTTTTGTGGCACAAGCTGAAGATAAATCCTAGCCATCAAGACAGCCCCCCAGTGGCTGCTGTGTGCTGCAGCAGGACAGGCAGTGCAAACAGGTGTGCTTGAGGCAGGTCTTTACAATGGTCATGTATTCCTGGACTTAGTGCTTATGTAAGAAACACATGCACACAAAGCATAGACCTTTCATATCCCCTAATCTTTATATCTCCATCACCATTTTATGAACTCCACCTCTGTCTTACACAACCTGAAGCTTAGTCAGTTCTGTTGGTTTCGGGTGGTAGCAGAGCTACCAGTCTCTGTCTCCCTGGTTCTCTTCTAAACCTGCCAGGGAGCTGGTGAGGTCTCACGATTTCTTCACATGTATTACATGTCTATTCTACAAAGAACTGGTGCAGTTAACAGCCAAATACAGATTACAGAGGCAAGCTGGGATTTGTTGTTATTTCAAAGGGTGCTTTATAGAAGAGTATGCATGTCATTTTACAAAAAGAAAAAAAGGCCGGGACCGGTTTGGCTCAGTGGATAGAGCGTTGGCCTGCTGACTGAAAGGTCCCGGGTTCAATTCCGGGCAAGGGCATGTACCTTGGTTGTGGGCATATCCCCAGTAGGGGGTGTGCAAGAGGCAGCTGACTGATAATTCTCTCTCATCGATGTTTCTAACTCTCTATCTCTCTCTTCCTCTCTGTGAAAAATCAATAAAATATATATATTTTTAAAAAGTCCAATTTAAAGAGTATATTCACTGCCCAAGGTTATCAGATTGACAGCTCTGATTTACTTTGCTCATCAAAGTCAACCGTATTTTTTAAAAACAAATGGTTATTGAATATTATGCATTCTTAGTGAAAATTTCCACCGACCCTCACCCTCCAAAAAAACAAAACAAAAACAACAACAAAACACACACACACACACACACACACACACACACACAAAACAGTGCTCTCAGATATCCTAAGAATGAACCTCCTTACAGACTTCAACTGTGTGCTCTATGGGAATAATGAGAGTCTCTTATACAACACTGGCAATCTCTCAACTTCCCATCATCTTCCCTGCAGACTTGGCATGTGCCATTACTCATTCATCTATGCCACATCCCCCCCTTGTGTCAGTGGAACTGAGATTTCTCTTCTCACTGAAACTCTTTGGCAGTGAAGTCAATCCCATCCCACTTCTGAAGAACACCTCCCACAATTTCCTCTTTTGAAGGACCCCCCCCCCACCGTCTGCCAGAGATTCTCCCCGATATGTGTTTACATGCCCTCCCCCCACAACCCCCAGAAAGCTTCCTCTCCTTTTGCTCACAGCAAATATCCTGATGCTGCTTCTCATCTCCCACTCTCCCCTTCACCCACTGTAGTCTGCCCCTAACAGCACAATGCTAAGATCATGGGTGCCTTTGCACACACAAACCAGTCTCTTCACCCAGCTCCATCCCCCAAGTATTCCCTAATGTCATAAGGGCACGCCATTTGCCTAGGTGCCGGGCCAAAACCTCCAACTGAGTTCTCCTGCTCCAGTCTGTTAGCAATTCTTGCAATCAGATCACCTTCCATTTGTCACTTCTCAGCTGTGTCACTGGCTTCTCGGCCCCCACTTGGCCTCCCAGGTACTATCTATTCTCCCCAAAGCAGCCAGAAGAGCCTCTTTAATTAAGAGCATTTTACTCCCCTACTAACTGCCTGCCAAAGGTTTCCCATCAAACAACTAAAAATGTAACTTATTCCCATGGCTTGGAACCTACAAAGCCCTATAAGATAGGACATTGCCCTTCTCTGTGCTCATGTCCTACATTCTTTCCCTCATTCCACACTCTGACCACACTGGCCACACCTCACTGTTCCCATCTCCAAATACGGCGCTTGTCCCCTTTGTCTGTCACAGAGCTCATCTGCCTCGGTTCAGTCATGTCAGGGTTCAAATGTTATCTCTTGAAAGAGGCTCTTCCTCATCATTCTATCTAAAGTAGCAAGACCCTGTCATCATTTTATCACTTCACCCTGCTCTGCCTTCGTGTTATTTAGTACTATCTCCACATGTGTCAAACACAAGGCCCGCGGGCCAAATCCGTCCTGCCAGGCCTTGCAATGTGGCCCGCACCGCGCTGTCATCACTGCACTTCGCTGCGTTTCCATCACAATGACAGTTTATGACTGTTCAGTAAACCATTCGGCCCACGATTTAGGCTGGATTTTAGATTTTGGCCCCTTCTCTGATTGAGTTCGACACCCCTAGGACTCTAAACTATTTATCTTTTTAATAAAAGTCACTTAAGGAAATGTGTATGCCTTCCTCACTAGAATATAAGCTTCATAAAAGAAAAAAGAAAAAAAAAGAAAAAACAACAACAACAACATCATCTCCCCTCTATCCTCAGCACTTAGACCTGTAAGGACTATCAGCACTGAAGGGAGAAGTCCCCAGGAATGACTTAGAGTGGTGGCAAAACCAGGAGAAAATAATAAAAAAGCCAAGATAGGTGAGGTTCAAGGGAGTGTGGTCAAAATGCTGTCAAGAAGTTGCTCATTCCATAAATAGCCACTGGATATCTAACTCTGTCACTATTCTATCTTCTATATACTTTTTATTTATATTCTTTCTCTGCATTGGAACAGCTAATCTTAATTTCCTATGGTAGCTCAGATTCATGCTCTAATTCCTTATATTCAAATGATTACTAGAGATTGCCCCTCTGCTGTCTCGCAGATGCATCAAACTTTACTCACCTACAAAGCACTCACGCTCTTCCAACCCAGATGCCCTCCTTTCTGTAACCCCTAGCTCTCCGTGTGAGAGCACCACTCCTGCCTTCCCCCAGCATGCGCTCAGCACTCCAGAGGGCTGGCAGCTCCATGGAAAGGCCTGTCTGACCCAGTGCCCACTGAGGGGTCTCTATTCAGAAGCACAGGCCGCCTCTCCAAAATGTTAACCAAAGGAGGAGGCAGTGACCCAAGTGCTCTTCCCTCAGACAAAGCAGGAGACTTTCCCCTTTAGGATTGCCCGAGGCAGGAGTGATACAATCCCCATTCCTTCTCACTAGAATGGACCACTCATTCCAAATGATACATTCTCTCCAGAGGAATCCTGGATGAATGACACAAAGGTCCTTACACGGCTATAGCTGAGCAGGCAACTAGCAACGCCCTTTCAGGTCCTATGGCACTAGAATCCTGGCAATGTCACAGGCAGGAACAAGAGGACAGCAAGGTCAGAAGAACACCCATCATCCAAGGAACAGCGAATTCAGGGTTCTAGTTCTCAGTCAGGACACAGGTTACAACTGCTCGGGAAATGCAGCCTGGGACTCAGCTTAGACCTACACTGAACCTGTCACTGCCTGGGAGGTTCTGTTATTGCCCCATCCTGCCCCATCAGCACACCTTGTAAGTGTGCCTGTGTGCACTGCGTGTGCCTATGTCTCCTGAGGTCTGGAGGGAGAAACCGGGTATCTTGCCCTCCTGCTGCCTTTAATAGCAACCGTTTTGTGGTGAGAAAAGCAAAGACATTGTTAATCATATTGATTATTAAGCTCAAATGTGTGTATTATACTTCCTTTGATACGTTGCCCTTAATAAAGTTCCGATGATCATTTCAGGAACCTACTTTTATTCGAAAAACAAGACCATTCCCTGTGGACAAGATGGAAAAGATGTTTTCTGAAAGAACTATCTTACCAAAGCTATTATTGCCCATTCAGCTGCTAGCTTTGTGGCACTGAAAAAAGGGTGAATAAATCTGTAAATACTTTCGGAATCAGGATTATAATTAAAGTATTCCTCTGGAACTATTTCTTGCTGAAAGGAGAAAAAATGCAAAGTAAGTATCCACTGGAAAAAAACACTTAAGTGCTTTTATGATAGTTTGTGCCCACATGCCCCTAATATTGTAATCTTCTGTCTGTGCCCACATGCCTCTTAAGATAATTTTGATTGGGTGACATGTCTTTTAGTCTTTTACATATAAACAGTAGGGCCTTAAAAAAACAACAGTGAGCCTTACAAAAAACAGGTTTGGCTCATCAGATGAAGTGTCCGCCTGCAGACTGAAGGGTCCTCGGTTCTATTCTGGTCAAGGGCACATGCCTGGGCTGTGGGCTCGATCTCTGGTGGAGGGCATGCAGAAAGCAGCTGATCAATGATTCTCTCATCATTAATGTTTCTATCTTTGCCTCCCTCTCCCTGCCTCTCTCTCCCTTTCTCTCTGAAATCAATATCTATCTATCTACCCTGTTTCTCCGAAAATAAGATAGTGTCTTATATTAATTTTTTCTCCCAAAGTTGCGCTAGGTCTTATTTTCAGGGGAAGTCTTATCTTTCCATACGCTAGGTCTTATTTTCGGAGGATGTCTTATTTTGGGGGAAACACAATATCTATCTATCTATCTATCTATCTATCTATCTACATAGATGGCCCTCACTCTCTCAGTTTATCACAAGATGGCCACCCCCACATCATCACAAGATGGCCGGCAGGGGAGGGAAATTGGGGGCAACCAGGCCTGCAGGGGAGGGCAGTTGGGGGGCAGGCCTGCAGGGGAGGGCAATTGGGGGGACCAGGCCTGCAGGGGAGGACAGTTAGGGGCAATCAGGCCAGCAGGGCAGTTGGGGGCAATTGGGCTGGCAGGGGAGCAGTTAGGGGGAATCAGGCAGGCAGGCAGGCGAGTAGTTAGGAGATAGAAGTCCTGGATTGTGAGAGGGATATCTGGCTGCAGGATTGGGCCTAAACAAGCAGTTGGACATCCCCCAAGGAGACTCAGATTGGAGAGGGTACAGGCTGGGCTGAGGGACACCTCCCCCCAACAGGTGCCTCCTGCAAGCACCCAACTGGGGATCAAACCCTCCATTGCCCTGATGAATTTTATGCACTGGACCTCTAGTGTGTGTGTGTGTGTGTGCGTGTGTGTGACAGTGAATCAATACCAACATACATTAAAGATAAGTACAGGCACAGCCTCAGAAAATTTATATGTTCCTTGCTTCTACAGAATTCTATCTAAACATAAACCATCTTTAGGTTCAAAAGTCTTATTGATCACCATGTTACACTTTTGGAATCAGCTCTGAAAATGTATTTTCAGTTTCCTGTAACCATCAGGTTCTAAGGCTGTGCTGTGCTAAACAGTGGTCACCAGCCTTATATTGCTATAGAGCATCTCTTCAAATTCAGTGATTTTGAAGTTTTTTTGTCATTCTAATTAATCCAAAATTTAAATAGCTGTTTAATTTTCTTCATAGAGATCTTAAGATATCTGTTAGATTTATTTACAAATATATTGTTTGATGTTACCAAAAATTTTCTTTTAAAAATATACATTTTGGGGGGAGGCATGTTGACTTACTTTAGCTTACTAGTTATACAAAGCTACAACTCAGTTCTTACTGACATATTTCTTTAATATTTGTTTTGTAAAATCATTATATGCAACATGGGGTGGGGAAGAAAACTTAAAGGAAGGTAATGTTATCTTCTAGCTGGAGAGAGTAATTTTCTACTAGTGATTAATTTTAAAGATAATCAGCATAAAATAAACACAATTGTATGAGAGAGAAATATAACCTCAATACAACTGGCACTTACTGTGAATGGATGTAACCTTTCATCAAAAATGTCCTATTTGCATCTCTAAAAAATAAGAAAGTGATTTTAAGAAATGAATCCAGGAATTGTTCAATATCTTAGTAACACACCTCCTGGGAGTAAATGGGTGGAGGGAGAAGCTTAACCTTTAACAAAGCCCTTCTACAAATTTTTCTCTCAGGTTCTGTAAGAATTTCCTGACCTCTTGTTACTCAGCACATCCAGTTATATGAAGTCTTTTCTATAATGACCAGCCAGAGCTGCCTTTATGAGCATTGACCTTTTCTAACAGGCAATGCTAGAGAACCAAATCAGTTGCCACTCCGGTAAGCTCACATTGGAAGACACGAACTTTTTATAAAGCAGTAGGGGTGGGCAACCGTTCACGTGAATATGAGATTCATGTTTTTCTCTCTGTGTTTTTTTTTTTCTTCTCTTTTTAGTTTCCTATATTATTATGTATTTCTTCTTGCCACTTTTTAAAAATATATATTTTATTGATTTTTTTTTACAGAGGGGAAGAGAGAGGAATAGAGAGTTAGAAACATCCATGAGAGAGAATCATCGATCACCTGCCTCTTGTATAACCCCTACTGGGGATGTGCCCACAACCAAGGTATATGCCCTTGACCGGAATCGAACCGGAGACCTTTCAGTCCGCAGGCCGACACTATCCACTGAGCCAAACTGGTTTTGGCTTTTTGCCATTTTTAAATCGACTGAGTTAAAAATTTGCCTTTTTATTTTAAAAGTGATCAATTTATTGATTTTAGAGATGAAGGGAGAGAGGGAGACAGAGATGAAGAGAGGAAAATGAAGAAAGGGAGAAGGGGAGGAATAAAGGGAGAAGAAGAAAGGGAGAGGAGAGGGAAAGGGGATGGGGAGAGGGAGGGAGAGGAAGAGGGAGAGGGAGAAACATTGGTTGCCTACCTCCTGCAAGCACCCAACTGAGGATCAAACCCTCCATAGCCCTGACCAGTAAGCAAACATGCCCGCCACCTTTTGGTGCATGGAATGATGCTCCACCAACTGAGCCACACAGGCCAGGGCAGTGAGTCTTCTTTTAAGTTTAATTTTCCACACTAATATACTCTGCTCATTTAATCAGTGGTTCTCCAAGTGTGTTTTGCAGGCCTCCGGGGTTCTCCTGGACTATTTCAGAAGACCTATGAGGCCGAACTATTTTTATAGAAATATTAAAGCATTGCCTGCATTTGCACTGACATTTTCAACCATTGTATAAAAGCAAAAGTCATGGTTTGTGAGCATGAGTTAAGGCAGGGGTACCACACTGTACTAGTAGTCATTTTATTCTTCACTGCCTCTTGTTGAAAAACAAATTCTGCTTTACTTAAGAACATCTTTGATAAAGCAGTGACAATTAGTAATGTTATTAAGGCTGATTCTTCATTTTCTATTCTGAATAAGAGAGAAGTACACATTAAGCACTCCTACATACTGAAATGTGGTTGTGTTAAGGAAAAGCACTTGGAATTAGTTGTGAGCTGAATGAGCTACTGTTTTCATTGAATAACATCTTTATTTGATAGAATGTTCATTCTCTCAAAACTGAACAGTGAGCCTGTCACTTCAAGGAAAATGACTTGTATATTTTTTGCCAATGACACAATTCAAGCTATCAAGCTAAAAATCAAGATTGGGGGAAAATTGTACCTTTTTGTGTGAGCTTGACATCTTTCAATATTTAGGCTTTTCTGGTAAGACTGGTGTTGATATGGTGCTAACAAAAGTGAGCTTTAATACTGTATAAAGAAATGTGAGCCAATACTTTCCAAATGACCAATGCATCATTTTAAATAATATCCAAGTAAAAAGATTCATTCAGTGTATAAGATATATGATTGAGTATTAATTTAACAGAAACCTCCTGCAAGTGCATACATATGACTTAAAATCCCACTGTAATTAATTTAACAAACCAGCACTTCTGGACTTCTGGTACAGTATCAAAGAATATCTATAATTATCTGAAGACTTTAAAAAACATTCTTTTCTAGCTATAAAGTGACATGAGGCTGAGCCTTCACATTGTTACATTGTTTCTTCAAAACAAGTTATTGAGATGACTGAAGTAATCACAAAGGATTGAAGACAGGGTATACATGAGAATCAGCTGTCTTCTATTAAATCAGGCATAAAGAGATTATATATATGACAATTTCCACTCCACTTTTTGTTGTGGAAAATGATTATCTTTTGTAAAGAATTATGTTAATGCTATGGCTCCTGGGGAAACACATGGCCGTGACTGGAGACATGTTTTGTTGTCAGAATGTCGCTTGGGAGGAGTGATATTGGCGTCTAGTGAGGAGAGGCCAGGGAAGCTGCTACACATTCTGTACCACACAAGGCTGCCCCTACAACAAAGAACTACCTGCTCAAAATGCCAACGGTGTATAAAAAAAGACATGTTTCAACATACAAAGGACTTATTTTAGATTTCTAATACAATAAATATCAATATAGCTCACATAAACAAATATTCTTTGGATCCTCAATAATTAAGCATTAAGAGTCCTAAGACAAAAACAAATGATTCACTTCAATAAAGTAATAAAAGCACTATATAGCTTACTCCAATAATGTCTATATTTCTCACCTAACACTACACTTTATATCTTATATGTTTATTAACTAGAATAACAAGACAGGTTTAAAAACTCACCTGTTCTTTATGTGGTAATATATTGCTAATGTCAGGCTGAGGGGGAAAAATGTAATAGTTGATTTTATGTTAGGTCTGAAGACTTTTTGTTGTTAATCTTCACCCAAGGATATTTTTCCATTAACTTTTAGAGAGAGTGGAAGGGAGGGGGAGAGATACAGAGAGAAAAACATTGATGTGAGAGAGACACATCGATTGGTTGCCTCCCGCACATCCCCAACAAGAACAGGAGATGGAGCCTGCAACCCAGGTACATGCCCTTGATCGAAATTGAACCCAGGACCTTTCAGTTCACGGACAAATTCTCTATCCACTGAGCCAAACTGAATAGAGCTGAAGACATTTTTAAAATGTGGTAAGGGAAGACTTTCCCAGCTGCCCAGTGGCTATGAAATCCTCATTCAGAAGAGTATAGCATGGGCACTTTTCACCTTGTAATTCTTTGGCTTTAAGCAAAATTAAGAAAACAAAAATGCTAGAGAATATACTGTTAGAAGAGAATCATTGATCAGCTGCCTCCTGTACACCCCACACTGGGGATTGAGCCCTCAACCCAGACATGTGACCTGACAGAGACCTCACTGAGCCACGCCCAACTGATTTTAAAATCACAGAATTGAAGCATATAAATTGAAAAGAACCAATGAACTTTTGATGACATTTAATTCAAAACCCATTTTATGGAGAAGGTAGCCAAGGCTTAAAACTGACTTGCTCAAGGCCCCACCAAGCGTGAGAAGCTGTTCTCCTTCTCCTACACTCTACCAGGCAGTGTGGTTCCCAGGTGTGACTGTGCATTGCGATCATCAGAGGAGCTTTAAAAACTGCCTAATCCCACCTTGAGATAATCTGATTTCACCGGCATTGGGTAGGACTTGGGATTGTTTTGAAAGCTTCTCAGGTGATTGTAATGTGCAGCATAATTTGAGAACAGATGAATTAGCGTTAAAATCAGAATCACTGGGTATGCTTTGCTCCATATAATACACCTCCCATCCTTCCTCAGCTTATCAAAAGGCTTGCAAGAGTGTATGTTAGGGGAGAGGGAATGGAACACATCTGTTTGGAGACACGTATTTTGAAAAAAGTTGCTAAGTGATTCTAACAAGTCTCTCCCACCCCATTGAGAATGCACTACTACCCCATAACAAACATTTTTTCTAAACCATTCCTAAAAGCCAATTAGCTCTATTTTCTCAGTAAACGTGTATTTCATCAATAGTAAATGTACTGAATGATCCATTTTCAAATCTTGATGAGAGCAAATTAAAAGTTATTGTACTTCCAAAAATAAGACTAATTTGGAGAACAAAATAGCATAACACCTACTTGTCTGAGCAAAGTTAATCTTTGAAACTACCTTTGAATTATATACTGTAACACCAGAACTCTTTGAATTCAAAAGAAGCTATGGAATAGGGCAGAGTGAAGTGGGTTTTTTTTTTTTTAACTCATGGATTTAGTGTCCTGGATGAATAAAAAAGACTAAATGATTATGCGATAGCTGCCAAAGTTCAGGACTTTAGGTAGAGATCGGGCTCAATTTTTGCTGACACACAGTTTGATCTCAACAGTTGTTATAAGTGAGGGAAGAAACTTATATTATTATGATTGTGAACTTGCTATTTTTAAGTGAAGTAGAAGTTACTGATAATTTAATTAACAAAAAAGCTGGTACAATAGAAAAAAATTAAGTTTATAAATAAATTATGTTTTAGGACTGAAAAATAAAATTAGAAATGAGGATTTTAATATTTTCAGGTAGCATTTTCCAAACTATGTTCTGGAATATCAATACTCATATCCCAGGGAGACACTGAAAATATTCCTTGGACACCCCAATGGGATTCAGGAAGCCCTACATCCTAGTTTGGTTTAATTTGGCTTTTAAATAAGCTTAAAAGATTCATCTTAAGTGACCACCCCTGATGGTCAGTGCACATCATAGTGAATGGTTGAGCAGTGTTAGCCTATTATTAGCATATTATGCTTTGACTGGTTGAATGGATGACCAGACAACAAGCTTTTATTATATAGGATGGATATATATATATATATATATATATATATATATATATATATATTAGATCTATAAAATTAAAATCTCAGTTGGACAGATTTTATCCACAAAGAAATCAGCTTGAAAATTTTTCCTTAAGACTGGTTTGATGCCTTTTTCCTGGAAGGAGAAGTGAATTTTAACATAGAAATAGTGCAGGAAAAAAAGTATGCAGGGGGAAATCTTACAGGAAGCAATTGAATGTAAGTGCAGATGCACTCTGGTGCCAGTGGGGACAAACTGTTCTTCTTCCAAGAGTAGTTTCCAAGGTGGTACACATTGTTTCAGGCCTGGATCTCATAAATACTTAAAAAAAAAAAAAAACCCAATCTCTGAAAAGGACAATCAGATGAAATTACATATGGGTAGGATCCTTTTAGCATCAGGGTCTGTCACTGAGCCCTGGGCAACCTATTTGTACTCACCATTGCAGGGTGATGCTAACATTAGGCTGGAAAATTGTGCTGTCATCTAAAAATATTGTTGAGCATGAGCTGTACTTTTCCCTAAGGTGACCAGGAGACACCTGAAGAGTTAGGGGAATAGAAGGAAATATCACAGTAAGTTAAACCTATAAAAGTGTGTTTTATTCCTGGTTAAAATGTCTAATAATTAAGCATTACAACTGTCCTCATACTCTATGAATGCTTTATGAATGCGTTAGTACCGTATCATGTGCAGCTCTGTGGTGAACCCATTAGATGCTCTAACTTGCAACCATGAGATCTGAGGAAGGGGTCATATAATCCAAGTTGGCAAACACCAATGATAAATTCCCTTTATAATAATGTAAAATATTAAAAAATAAGACTTCAGTGCTTTTTGTTTTCTTAAGAAATGAAAAGCAGATGATATTTTTATTTCTATTCTTTATGTTCTACATTAAAACATAATTTTTAGGTAATATTGAAGGAAGAGCATTTTACTGAAGTAAATGAAAGCCAATAGTAACTATTAGTTCAGGAGACAGTGTGACAAACCACGTGTATGTGTGTCAGAAGTGTGTGTGCTGGGGCTGGCCTATGGCTAACAAGCTCGGGGTCAGAGTTCTCTCTGGGCCTCAGTTTCCTTATCTTAAGAGCATCGTTTTAAGATTCTCTCACATACAACACCCAGATAAAACAACTCTGAGAATTTCACTCTCACTTCATGTTTAATTAAGACTACCATTATATTACCCAAATGAGAACCTCAGAGAACACTTCACATTACGTCATTCTATTCTCTAAGTTGCTTGACATTCATCAAGACCCTGCATCATCATGCTGCTCTCTGACTACAAGGCCTTTTCTTCCTCCCTTTCCCAGCAAGTTCATGTCCCACTTCCCACCCACCTCCGAGACACCTCTGCCGGCAGCCACACTTCACAACTTCTCCCTGCCTCTGCATTCACACACCCGAGATCCTACGCATTACATGGTCTCAACTGCTTCCAGGGCAGCCCCCTCATAAAAAGTGAGCCTCTCTAGGGAAAGCAGGACTTGTACTCCCCTTCTACCTCCAACTGCTGAGCACAGAATCCAGGGCAAGTTAGGAGTCCAACAAGTGTTTAACTAAGTATTTAAAATCAATTACAATGGGAAGGTAATTGATACAAACTGAAACTTATCTACTGTGCTATCAGAGAGATGACAGGAAATTTTTGATAACCTCTAGAGAATAAATTAATTTTAGAAGTATTCATTTATTTTAAAAGTATTCATTTATTGATTTTCAAAGAACCCAACAATATAACAATAATAAAGTATGGAAACAGCCTAAGCCAATGGTTGGCAAACTCATTAGTCAATAGAGCCAAATATCAACAGTACAAGGATTGAAATTTCTTTTGAGAGACAAATTTTTTAAACTAAATCTTCTAATGCCCCTTCTTCAAAATAGACTTGCCCAGGCCATGGTATTTTGTGGAAGAGCCACACTCAAGGGGCCAAAGAACTGCATGTGGCTCAGGAGCCGCAGTTTGCCAACCATGGGCCTGAGCTATGTTAGGACAATCCTTTGAAAGTAAAACTAATCCTAATAACTGTAACTAGTTGGAAGTAACAGTAGCATTCTTTAACATCACAGAACCCCAACAATTTTAATATTCCTGGTTTGGTTAGGGGCAAAATGGCACCAGATGTTAGATCTCAGTCCTTGAGTTCAGCAAAGAAAGAATTTAGAGCCAAGAACTCAACTTATAAGGGAAAGTTTATGTAGAAAGTCACAGAGGTAGAAGAGAGCCAGCTGGCCTGCATGGATTCAGGGAACAAGCTACGGAGGCAAAAGAAGGGCCCTTGGAACTGAGGAAAAAGAAAGCAAGGGGATACCTGGCCGGGGAAAGGAGAGGGGGAAAGGCACTGACTGACTGTAGAGCAGCAGTCACCCACCTTTCAGACTCATGGAACACCAGTGTCTGTGGGCCACCAGTTGGTGGCCACTCTTCTAGAGAGAGAGTGAGTGAGTGTGCGTTCACTGGGTCCTTTGTCTTAAGAGTTTTTATCTAAATGTAGAAATTTTAGGGGAGGTCATAAGAGAGGATCTCAAGAGAATATTCATGAGCCTTCCAGGTGTCCCTTCAGGATTGTGGTCTCCACTTACTGTTCAGTGCCAGGGCAGGGGATGATTGGTCCTGAGGCAGCCATGGCATTGCCCGCCTAGCTGGGCGGCTTTCCTGGGCCTGGAGCTGGAACACAACTGAGGCCTAGGTGTTATCTCTAGTGTAACCAAAACCCTGTCTCTGTGGTCAACAGGCTGAGGCTTTGCTCCTCAGATCATTTGATGCAGATCAGAACCTCATTGTCCTGAGGGCTTAATGCTTAAGGGAGTGGTCGTGCAAGGGCTTGAATGGGAATCATATGAGGCTAATTCTCTGGCCCCCTCGGTCTTCCTCTAAGGAGGTCAGTATGCTGGGGGAGCACAGTTCAGGGGAGGGTCTGAGCCAAGTGTTCCAAAACGTCAGGATGTATAAACTGCATGACCGTCCATTTGCTAGGGGGGGAAAGGTCACTCTGGGAGCAAGGTCCCACCCTACAATATTTAGTTTCCCAGTTTTGCCTGTTGCTAGGCAGGTCAGATTTTCTGCCCTGCTGATATACTTGGCCTATTCTTCCTAATTGCCTACTATAACAGTTATGTTGTATTTTAAAACAAATTCACATGAGCCTACCTTCCTCATCTTATATAAGAAAAGCCTAATATGCTAAGTTTCTAGTCAACTGGTCATCCATTCAACCAATCAAAGTGTAATATGCTAATGATAGGCTAAGGCCACTCAACTGCTTGCTCTGATGTGCACTGACAACCAGAGGTCAGTCAGTCAACTGGTGGGCCGGTCGCTATGATATTCACTGATAACCAGGGAGCAGATGCTCTGACCAGTAGGTTAGATTGGTGCTAGGGTCTGGGCAATTGGGACTGAGCAAGATGGGCCAGACATACCCTGGAGCCCTCCTGCAGTCCTTCCCTGACTGGCTAACCTTCTGTGTTCCTCCCTGGCCCCGATCACGCACCAGTAGGTTCTCTAGGCCTAACCTGTGCCTTCTCGAAATCCAGGACCCCTCAGGGAATGTCAGAGAGCCAGTTTCAGCAGGTCAAACCAAGGGACCCTACTGGTGCATGAATTTGTGCACTGGGCTTCTAGTATTAACATAAAATAGCTTTCATCATGCTCTCATGCTTTCCCATTAGTTTCCCCATAAACACACAAACAGGACAGGGAGAAAATATAGTTGATATATTTGAAAATATAGAGCATTTAAAAATTGCCAGTAGTGAATAGTCAGAAATTTCTTTATCTATCTATATAAAAGGCTAATATGTTAAGTGTCCTTCCCACCTTCTGACCAGTCGTTATGATGAGCACTGATCACCAGGGGGCAGACGCTCAAGGCAGGAGCTACCATGATACCATAGAGAAATGGCACCACAGACTGGGCATCCAGAAAGCAACATTCAGCTTCCCCCAAATGGGACACAGGTCCCACCACCACCCTGGAGTGATAGTGCACCAAATTGTAGCCAACACTGCTGAGACCCCCATGATGCAAAATGCAGCCTGTAGCCCAGCCCAGCCTGGAAACGGTTGTTGTGGGTGCCGGGTAATGATGTCACATAGCAACGCTCAGCTTCTTCTCCCTAGTGACTAGCCTCCTTAAAGTTCCAGGAACACAGATGGAAATATTTTACACTTTAACCAAATGTATGTGAAGCGTTTTCCAGTGCCTCATCTCATTTGATCCTCACAGAAGTCCTGAAGTAGGTAGATAGGAGACTTGGTGAAATCTATTTTTTTTTTTCATTAGCCAGAAAATGGAGATTTAGAAAGCTTAAAAACTTGACCCAACTGAAAAGAAGAAAGAAATGGTGGACCTTGAAAATTACTTCAGGTTTTCTCACTGTACAGAGTATAGTCAAACACTGCTACAGTTAAATATTTTACCCTTTGTTCTCCCTGCATGATTTACAATAATAATCTGTTTCATGTTGATATTTACTACTGTGTTGCTGACAATTACCTGAAAGAGAAGTTGGAGTGCTTCACTGGACTGGAAAAAGTTTAGTTAAATCAGAAAATATGAAAACTCATTCATATATATACTTTTATTCTAAACTAGAAGCTGGGTGCACAAAATTCCTTATGAGAGGGGGGTCCCTCAGCCTGGTCTGCACCCTCTCGCAATCCAGGACTCCTTGGGGGATGTCTGACTACTGGTTTAGAGGTTAGAAAAAAACCTGTCTGACTGTTATCTTTTTCTGCCATATTACTAGATAATTAGGTACAAAATGTGTTATTTTTGAAAAATGGGAGACCAGCCTACTTGCTGCATTTGGCTGTGTGAGATTGTGTTGAGCAGGAAGAAGGGGGTGGAATATCCTGGCGAAGTGTAGAAATGCTCAAATTTCAGTAATGTTTGAGAGAAAGAAGGAAGGGTATACCAGAAAGAGGCATGGCCAGAGAACCCTATGGCACAGCAGTAAAAAAATAGTCATAATAATGTAAACACTGATTCTGATTTAATATAAACCATGATACATGTTAAGGGGACAGAGGGAGGGAAAAATAAGGCTTTGCCGAAGTGAGAAAGTTAGCTTTCAGCTGCTATGACAATTAAGTCAATAGATAGTATTAAAAATTGACAGCTATTTTATTATTCATTTTGTTAAAAATCAAGATTAAAAATTAAGGTAGATCTTTATACCACAACCATTTATTGACATTTAATGTAAAGTCAGAACTCCTTAAAAAATGGGCATTACTAAGCCAAAAACTTTCCTGAATATGTAAGTTTAATAATTAAGATAACAGAAAAGATTTAGAAAATCTATCACAAAAGGTCTATGCTAATGATGTTAGGTCCATTATATATATTTAAAAATCATGGCAATTTTTAATTCAAATTATTAATTTCTTAACTTTTCAACTGTTTACTTACATAGTATGAGTAGTTCTTCTTCTTTTCTCGCACTAAGAATTAAAAAAATTTTTTAACTGATCAATTATGATACAAATGCTATAGGAAAACAAAATTTTGTATATTGAAAGATTACCAACATACAAAATATGCCATTTTATTCCATTTTTAAAAATAATTTCAACAAAATTTATAAATAAATCACCTGGCAAGATGAGACCCATAAAGTAAAATCTTAAAACTTTTACTTTTCTGACCTAATAAAAAAATATTCTATATTAGGCACAAATAAAAGTCTCTCCATGTACAAAAGGGCAAAGCAAGTTAGGTCAGTGAGAAACTTAGCTAATAAAGAAGCTTAAATGTTGTGCTTCTGAACCACTACTCAATTGTAGTTTCTAATTCTACATTTATACCCACTCTACTTAATCATCAGTTGAGAGTTCTAAGAACCTGCCAGGAACCTGGAAGCATCCTGAACCACTGACTGGTAGTCAACTAGGATATTTTATTAAAAAAAATATGCATGGAGGGCATATGCTGGTGGGTAGGGGAGACCAGGAGAGGGTCAATGGGGGGAAAAGAAGATATATGTACTACTATTTGTAATATTTTAAACAATAACAAAATAAAATAAAAATAAAATAAAGGAAAAAATAAAAATATATATGAATGGGTCTTTACTCAATTGCTAAGTAACTGATCCAATTTAAATTTTACAATGAGTGTGGCTAACCTAACTAGACATATGTACAACACACAAAATCGTTTTGCTCTAACAAAGATCAGAAGAAAAATAAAAGCTCCAAAGAGGGTCTTGGGCTGTATGTTTCCCACTCTGTCTCCTTTGACGCAGGACAGCATCATAGGTATGTGTTCCTTAGGACTGAGACAGGTGCATGGGATAGCTTTTCCTTTACTGGCTCGCCCTCTCTCCACAGGTGAGCAACCATGGCTCTGGAAGAAACTGAGAAATACAGCAATCCTAACCAAAAATGATCAGCTTCAGATAGTCAAAATGCACACATACCATGAAAACACATGTTAAAACCCCATTTTCTATTGTGCTGCATGGCTTCACTTCTTTTCCTTCTGCTTTCATAACCAACTGAAAGATTTGATCATATATGCCTTTTTAAGCAAGTAAACTCAGTTGAAAATAACATTAAGAAAAATAAGCAGGCAAGCAGAAGTATCAAAATCCTACAGTTCTGGTTCTGATCCTAACACAAACAGGACACAGGAAATTATAGAGTTGCGCATGCTCGTGCTAAGCTTCTGGGAACCCCATAGGGCTCTGATCCTCTGATGCACCCTGGCAGCAGTATATAGGGTGAGAGAGTTTGAATAGCTTAAGGATTCTAGATGTGCGACAGGATACTTGGTTGAGTGATATGTAAAATAAAGCCAAAATCACAAATTCAATCCTCATATATAAACAACTGATATTTTTGATTTCTTCAAATAAAAACCTGTGACCTAAATTCTATCTTGACTTACCATCCATTTGAAATTTCTTCAGGAAAATTGTGCTTGCCGTTGGAATGTCCGAAGGGATTAACTCTAAAACCAACTCTATATGGAAAGAAGAGAAAAAGGCATACTAATTTAGTTGAGTAAAAAAATACATAATTTTAAAAATAGCTACACATCACTTTTAATCACTTATATCAGTAGTAGAGGCCCATTGCACAAAGATTTGTGCAATAGGCCTTCCTTCCTCTGGCTGCCAGCACAGTTTGCCTCCATCACCCAGGACCCCGCTTCACTCTGGCCACCACCTTCAATTTTTGCTCTGGTCATAGCCTTCAGTGTTTGCTCAGGCTGGAACTCTGCTCCTGCAGTTCCCTCCATCCCTGCCCTCCCCCTCATAGAGGCATCCCACCCAACCTGGGCCTTCTGCGCCTGCATATGAAAATTAACGACCATCTTTGTTGGGTTAATTTGCATACTTGCTCCTGATTGGCTGGTGGGTGTCATGGAGGTATGGTCAATTTTCACATTTCTCTTTCATTAGTATGGCTTGGGAAGAGTTTTTAAGTAATGGTAACAATCTAATTTTAGTAAAGGCAACAATATAAAAATTCTACAGGAAAAATTCAAAATTGTAGAATCTTTCCATATATGTGGAATAAAACCAGGCTATGTCTTCAACTTTTTTAAACTTGCACCTAAGAAATCTCTGAATCATATACTAGTATGTGTTTCTCATCTTCTACTTTATCAATTAGAGTCATTCCCTTTTATTTTGATATTATTAGCACATTCCAGAAAGTGTTAAGAAGCAAATTATGCTACGGCCAATTAGTGTCAGATACCTGCTAGTATATCAAATATGCCCAAATCATATGAGCTGTTTTTGGCAAATGTTTTTTGTACATTTAGGTTAATTCTAACTCCATTCAAAAAATGAATTTATTTAGTTGCAGCTTACTTGAAGCTATTCATCATGGCACATTTAAAAAGATAGCATAAAAGCTCAATGCTGTCAAAATCAGTTTGGCTCAGGGGATAGAATGTCGGCCTGCGGACTGAAGGGTCCCAGGTTTGATTCCTGTCAAGGGCATATACCTTGGTTGCTGGCACATCCCCAATGGGTGGTGTGCAAGAGGCAACTGATTGATCTGGTTGATGATTCTCTCTAACTGATGTTTCTACCTCTCTTTCCCTCTCTCTTCCTCTCTGTAAAAAAATCAATAATATATATATATATATATATATATATATATATATATATATATATATTTTTTTTTTTTTTTTTTTAAAGCTCAATGCTCTACTCTACTTTCATGGTAGTGACTTAAACTTTCATCAAAGTGATTTTTAAATTCTGCCCTCAATTTCCAAAGCTAAAGTTTCACTTCTTCCTTTCATGCCCCATGATTAATTTGAGACTTCAATAAGAACAAGCCTGGACCTGATCCTAGGGCTGCTGGTACAGATGAAATGCGCTGTAATTATGTAAAGATAAGTCTGCCTGCAGCCCACCTTGCATCAAGGTGGGATAATCTTCTATTCTGGCAAGAATACAAAACAACTACTTTTGAATTTTAATAATAGAAAGCTTTTTTTACACATCAGCAAAATCTCATTTGGCACATCTATCACCCATGTCAGCCTCTTTCGTTCAGCAGCTGTTACATGGTCATTTCACATCTTTAGGTCTCGATTTCTCCAGCAACATCAGAAGGAGAGTATTCATGAGGCTTTACTTGCAGTTAGAAGGGACAAATAAGATATACATGTGAGTTGTAAATCTTAAAAGAATTATACAAAGCTCCTATTTGGGTCTCTCATTCAACACAATACATCTACCAACTGTTTATAAAACCACTCAGAAGCTCACCTACAGCACAAGCAGAAGTTTTCACAGGTAATCACTTGCTTTTTGTTTAAAGGTGCACAATATGGAGTCTTAACCCCTAAGACTTACTGTTACAAATTAAAGCCTAAATTTATGCTCCTAATTTGTTCTCTCCCCCCCCCCCACACACAATATTTGAGTATTCTGAAGAGAGAATACTTTTCAGTTAGAAAGCCATATCCACCCAGGGGAATCCACTAGCTACTTTTAAAGAAATTAAAAGCTCAACTGAAGTTTAAGTAGAATAAGAGCTACAATGCATTTTCTCTATGAAATAAAGAAATAATGGGGTTTAACATCTTTGTGAAAGAATGTTTTTTACATTAAAAAAACACTACATCTTGCCTTGGCTGGTGCAGCTCAGTGGCTAGAGTATCAGCCAGGTTGAGGATTTGATTCCCAGTCAAGGGCAAGTACCTAGGTTGCAGGTTCATCTCCAGGCCCTGGAGTATGTGTGTGCAGGAGGCAACCAATCAATGTGTCTCAAATCAATGTTTTTTTCTCTCTCTTTACCACCCACTCCTTCCACCCACTCTAAATATCCATAGGAAAAAAATATCCTCCAGTGAGGATGAACACAAACAAAACAAAACAAAACAAAAAAACACAGTCTTTGTTAGCTACCTTGTTACCCAGAATTATTTTAAACCAAATATTTCCTCTTTTCTTCCTCTCCATCATCCTCCACTCTCCCCCTCCTTCAACCCTTTAGGCATCTGGTCTTTAGAACCTTTTCCTCAACGTTCTTACAGTTAAACAGGCATCTACTGGCAGGAGGGGAGAGGATGGAGAGGGAGCCATGGAGACAAATATTCTTGTACATGACATGGCATCTTAACTCCCAAGACTTTATGTTACAAATTCAAGTCTAGAGTAATGTGTTCCTCTCTTTTGAAACTTTTGACCAGCACTTTTGTGAGCCACCTCACCCTTCCTTTAGAACAAATAATATGAAAGTGAAGTCTGTTAAGTCACTGAAGTAAGACTGAAGACATATTTGTGTCAAAGTAGATATATTAAAGCAATCAATTCTGTGGGTTCTCCTTTGTGTAAAAAATAAAAAAATGATTCTCTGCAGCACTGGCATAACATTTCACATCGTGCAGCAATTTTAAGTTCCTTCTCCCACCATTTCTTTCTGTATTCAAATTATAGTTAGAGGAATAAAACAGCTTCTATCCAGGCAATTGAAAACAGCTTACTTAAAAACACCACATAGGTTCTATGTTAGTTATCTATTTTGAATTTAAATAAAAAACCATAAAATCCTTGCAGCTGAACTGTCCCGAACATCAACTATCTTAACAAAATATACCCAAAAGCTTTCATGGAGTCCCAGGAGACACCAAAACAGAGCCATGCATGAACAGGAAGAGCCTCTGACTGGAGTGTCCCAGGCTGAGTGGGGAATAGAAGAAAGAACCAGGGGTTTGGGTAGTGAAAGGGGAAGAAACTGCTCAGACATGACCAGAAAAGAACATGGGGTGGAGATGCCAGGAAGTGCCAGCTCTTGGAAAGCGGCTCCAGGCAAGGGGGAGCCTGATGGTGACTCCCTTCTAGGGGGTTCTGGGGTCGGGTGGGGGGGCCAGAGTATGCCTGAGAGCATCAAACACCTGCCACCTCCTTACCTTTGGGCGTTTCCAGGTCACCGAGCTACAGTGCAGGGTGGCCCACACCAGCTTGGAAATTCAACTCAGCAGGTTCCAGGGCAGTTGGGGCTGGTGGTGATGCCACTGAGTTCCTGGTGCCCGCCTCACAGACACCAGACTCATCGTCCCGATGCACCCACCCAGAGTGCTGGCCCAGCTTGGGGCTGGCATTGGACTTCGGGCAGCAGGCCAGGTTGTTCCCCATAGGAACTCCCACTCCTGGCTGCGAACATCACCTTAGCTCAACAGTCCCCCAACCCCCACCCCAGCCTGACCAAGCTCCCTGCTGCTGCCTTGGGCTGGTGTCAGCTGCTACTGCCTCCACTGAGTTGACTAGCCTGTGAGGGTGGTAAGCAGCCTGACTTACTTAAAAGATGCAGTGATCAGGCAACTGCTGAGAATCAGGACCACTTCAAGAGGAGAGCAAAGCCAAAGCTCCTCCTTCCACAGTTGCTTCTCACCTGAAGGCAGTTCTGGCACCAGCCAACCAGCACACATTCTGTGGTCACCTGGTTACAAGGGACCAATGATGTCCAGATTTCCCTCCATGCACCCACTTATAGAAAAGGCAGTGGTTCAGAATGCTCCCCTTCCCCGCCCTGCAGCCCCTCCACCTCCCCTTCCCTTGCCAAGCACACACACTTGGTCCAGTCTTTGGTTCCATCCATAATTTCCTAAACACAGTCAAGTGTTACCAGGAGGGCAGGAAAGCTACAAATGCCATTGGCTATGGCAAATGGGTGAAGAAGTGAATAGGCAGTGAGAAAGTGAAGAAAGCAACTAAGGGCTTCTCTTCCCAAGCGTTTGGCTAAGAAGAGAGATGTGGTAGAAGTTAGAAGGAAATACTGTTAGGATTTTTTATTTTAGGATAAAAAAATATGAGTATACTTATATGTTAAGGGTAAGAACCAATGGAGAAAAAAAAAAGTCTGAAGTAAGAGAAGGAAGAATGAATGGAGCAAGGCCCCCAAATAAGCAGAAGCAGATGCCTCCTGAGCAGGGATACATTAGCTTTGGAACAATAGAAAAACAAGGAGGGAGAAGGACACATTTCTGATAGAGGAGAGATTTAGGAAGACCTTATTTAATGACCTCTATTAATCTTTCTTTTAATATATGGAAAGCATTTGGCTGATATGGCTCAGTAGTTGAGTGTTGACCTATGAACCACCACATCACAGTTCAATTCCCAGTCAGAGCACATGCCTGGATTGCAAGCTCACTTCCCAGTAGGGGACATGCAGGAGGTGGACTGATGATTCACTATCATCATTGATTTTCTCTCTCCCTCTCCCTTCCTCTCTGAAATCAACAAAAATATATTTAAATATATATATGGAAAGCCACAGTGGGAAGCAGAGGATAATGTGTAGAGAAGTATACACTTCAGAAAAGCTCAAAACACTTAATGAAAGCCAAACATCTTTCCTCAAAGATGGGTAGGTTGAAAAGAAATTTGAACCAAAACAAGGAGCTCTACTCTAAATAGTGGTGTCACAAAAGTAAAAGAGAAGGCTAATTGTTTCTCCCGAGTATTTGACAGACTTGCTAACCTGATGAGGTGGCACCAATTGAGAGAGATCTAAGTCAGCAGCCAGGGTTACTATTTGCTCTACAACTGTTAGCAAGTATCCCTGTGACAGGCTTCTCTCAGTCCGTACTTACATTTAGTTATGCTCTGTCTCACACATCATTTCAACTATACAAGGTTAATACCACTAAAGTCACACCAACAAACTGCACAGCATGGCAGATTAATGACCAATGGAAAATAAGTATGAGTGCCATCTCCATAAAATGTCAAGCTCCCATAAAATTTCAACTCCAATTTGAGGCATTCTAGTATGTCAAGTCTGACCCTGACCAGCCCCACTTGTCAATGATTTTGAAAGTGCAGTTGGCACACACATGGGTTTCTGATCATGTGGGCCAATCCTAGAAGAGTGGTGAGTGACAGGTGAGTGACCATTCCTACTCCACACTGACACTCAGAGAATACTTCAAGGCAACACATGATACTGAAACTCAGCCGCTCTCAACTCCAGCTGCTTACAAGAACCAGAGGGAGGACTTGGGAAGGTTAGGCATGTTCAGGCCCCACCAGACCCTAAGTCAGAATCTCTGGGGTATATCCCAAGCATCAGTGTGGTTTTGAAATTGGTGATTATTATGCCCACCCAGGTTGAGCATCACTGGGAATGCTTTTGTTCTTCCCAAGACTGTGAGGCAGACAGTTTAACACACTCTACATTACAAACAGAATACTTAAAAAATTATTGCTGAACTAAAGTGAATATACAGTAAGTCTTCGGGTTATGATGTCTGAGATCTGTTCCTGTGGCATGGATATTACATAAGCACCTCCATCACTCACATGGAGCACATACACAACAGTATTAAAGTGAAACAATAAAAAAAATTAAAAGAAAGATAACAATTCCTGACCTTTACTTGTGGTAAATAAATAATAAAAAACATAAAGCACATATGTACAAACGTCAAAATGACGGACCTTTTTTTTTTTTTTTTTTTTTTTTTTTTTTTTTTTTTTAAATAAATAAATGGGAGATGGTGATGTAACCACAAAACGACTTACTTCAAGTCCGAAGTAACCCGAGGACTGCCTGTATTTCCACATCACACAACTTCCACTTCTATAACAGGCAAGGAACCTCGGGGATGAAGGATGGCTAGCCATTTGTATCTCATTTTCCTGAACACACAAAATTGTAACACCTGGTGTCACACCTCCAGGTTGAAGGAAGTGCAATGAAGGAGTGAGGGTGCCTTCTCACTGTTCCTCCAGCTTAGGGTTGAGAAACTTTTTTTATATATATATTTTATTGATTTTGTACAGAGAGGAAGGGAGAGAGATAGAGAGTTAGAAACATCGATGAGAGAGAGTCATCGATCAGCTGCCTTTTGCACACCCCCTACTGGGGATGTGCCCACAACCAAGGTACATGCCCTTGACCGGAATCAAACCCGGGACTTTTCAGTCCCCAAGCTGACGCTCTATCCATTGAGCCAAACCGGTTTTGGCAGGGTTGAGAAACTTTTTAAAGTGGGACTGATATTAAACTTAGCAAAGCAGCAGCTGCCAAATATGGGGGTGTTCCTCTGGCACATTGCCATGACCAAAAATGAGAGCTAAAAATGGTTCCTCCCAATAACGGCCTTCTGCCCAAATCATGGTTGCCAGAATAAGCAAATAAAAATGCAAGACACCAATCATGCTTAAATTTCAGAGGAACAACAAATAATTGTTCCTGTGCAATACTGGGCATCCTTACACTAAAAATGTATTCATGGATTATCTGAAGTGTCACTACACTGAATGTCCTGTATTTCATCTGACAACTCTACCAGTTCCAGCCCCAAAGTAAATGTTCTAGCTTTATTGCTGTGTTTCTGGAAAAAGGGACGGTGGTATTACGAAATAAGAACATTTGAAAGCTTCATGTTTGTCTCCAACAACATAACAATGCTTTGGTATTCATAGACACAGGCACTATCTAAATGAGACATAAGCAGATTGTCCCTTTCTCCCAGCGACTGTTCCAAGAGCTGATTTCTTCAGCTCTGAACAAAGGACTCAGCAGAAGGAAACTTCATTATTAGCCTCAGCAGAGCAAATTCTCCAACCAAAGAAAGCATTCACTCACTTTACATCTCATCCTCCCCCACACTACCCCCCCCCCCCCGGGCAAAAAAAAAAAAATCAAAGAATTGTGTGTAGAATCCAAATAGGGATGAAATTTTACCCGCTAATCTTATAATTATGAAATTCTATTTCTGGTTTTTGTACCTGGGAGAGAGAGAAAAGACACGGTAAAAAAGGGAGAAGAGAGAAGCAAGAAAAGTGGCATAATCAGATTTGCTCTCAGCAAACACTGGCTGAGGACCAACAGAGCAAGAGGCAGCCCTGGCCTCCAGGAGAGAGAGCTGGGTTATGGGTGAGAACAGACAACCTCTCAGCACAGGGCGGTGTTTGGACGGTTTTCTGCTGTGCCCTCACCAGCCAGAACAGTGCCTGGCACACGGAGGCACTCAATCAGTATTTGTTGAATGAACAGTGAAGGTGTGCACTCAGACCAGGGAGAGATGGGGAAACCAGAGATGGCTTCTCAAAGGCAGGATACCTGTTGTTTCAGGAAGAGTGAAATGAGTTAGTCAGGCCAAGCATTCCCGGAAGGAGGAGCTGCGTGTGCCAAGGCACACTGGAGTGAGGCTGCTGGACTCGCCCTGGAGAAGATACCCAACAAACAGCTAAAGCACAGGTTGGCGCTCACAGGGGAGGTCTGGATGGGAACAAGATCTGGGGAACGAAAGGCCCAGTGTGTAGAAGGATGCTCTGGGGTGGGGGTGGGGGGAGGGAGGAGGGTTCAAGGATGAAGCCACATCTTCCTCTTAAGGGAAAGAGAAGGAGAGGAGGGACCGGAAGGATACCTAAAACGGGCAGTGCTAGCAGGAGGAGCCAAGCCATAAGAGGCTACTGCCACAAGGGCTGGGACAGCATGTCGTGGGAATGGAGGAAACATTGTCAGAGGGGAGATAAAGCAGAGCATTAGGAGCGAACTGGGGGAGGGGAGAAGGGAGTGAGTGAATAGAAGGGGCTCTGAGGCCAAGAGGTGCCATTTCCCAGGTACGTCCTTATGGCGAGAGAAGCCTTAAGGTCCATAAGATGAAGAGATGGAGCCACCGGCAGGGAGACACTGACTACCCACCTCAAACTAAAAGCTGAATGCTATGCACCAGGACTAGGGGGTGTTTTTCCTCAACTTCCTCTCCTCGTATTCCCTCCAGGAGCCCATACGCCCTACAGTACGAACAAGCCATGGCCCAGCTGGGTCTTGGGACCGCTCCTGAGCGCCCTGGCTCTTTCCTGGGTGAGTGGTGCTGCTTCCAACAGGAGGAGGTGAACATCTCAAGAGGTAAGGGACTGGGGACTCAACGCCACTGCCACCTCATTCATTTAAAGACACCAAACAAAAACAGAAACTGCCACGAACTAGAAAGACACGCGTTCACACAGATGACTGTTCTGCCTATTCCTCGAAGGTCCTGTGGAACTGGGCAGGCAGCCAGGAATCTCCAGGGAGATAAATTATAAAACAGTCACTCAGAAATTCTGCTTCCTCAGCTCTGGGGAGAGAGCCATGTTATCTGGGTGTGGTGCAAAAGCTATGGTGTGTTTTTATTTAT